TGGGTAAACTCTCAGGAAGCATCTTCACTGGCTTTCTTGGTTTAGATGAGTGGCTGAATTTGCCCAGGGTTTGTGCTGTTTAGATTTCTTTTCCACCCACCCCCAACCCTGACCCCACCCCCACCCCGCCCCACCTCCTGGCGGCAATGCTAGTGGAGATGGTGATGATTAACCAATGGCTATGCACTGGCTGCTTAGAGATAAGTGTCCTTGGGTTTAAATGGTGGTGTCGACTCCTAGGAAACTAAGTTAATTGACAAATAATTATTCGGTTCTATGTAAATTAACTTTTATTGTTCCTGTTTATTTTCCCTTCAGCTACAAGTGTCTGGTGGGATGGGAACTACATAGTTTCAGTGGTGAATTTGAAATATATAATATAGGTATTCTCAGATTTGAAGGAAATGATATGAGGCATATGGGGGTGACCTGGGGGCTCAGGGACAGTATCTGGTGAATTAACAATACTGTGGTTATGACAAGGATGTGTTCTCTCTGCCAGTGGTTTCCCCAGCACCAAAGTCAGTCTGCAATGAAGTATTTCCTAATCCACTGCAAAATGAGAAAAGGCAAATGTTGGGAGCTTTCCTTAAAGCCAAATAGATTTATCTAGAGACTTTATTTGTAAGCATGTCATCCCTAATTTTGTGTGCGTGTGTGTGCGCGCGTGTGTGTGTGTGTATGTGCGCGCACTAAAAATATGTCTTTCAAACAGTGGTAATGATTATTATCTATATTAAGTAGCATTTATTCAATGCACACAAGTGTGTAACAATTTCCCTGGTGAGTGCCATGGTTTTCTGGCTGGATCAAGAGCACAGTGCATTTTGGAAAATAAAAATATAAACATTATAGCTTACCCTATTATTTTTCAATCATTTTAGAAGGCCCTTCAATGAACAAAACTGTGTATATTTTTTAAATAGTTCATCAAATTTACTTAAGCTTGACTTGTTTTTTTTTTTTTTTTAAAGATTTTATTTATTTGACAGAGAGAGACAGAGAGAGTGAGAGAGGGAACACAAGCAGGGGGAGTGGGAGAGGGAGAAGCAGGCTTCCCGCAGAGCAGAGAGCCTGATGCAGGGCTCCATCCCAGGACCCTGGAATCATGCCCTGAGCCAAAGGCAGACGCTTAATGCTGAGTCACCCAGGTACCCAAGTCGGTACCCAAGTTACCATTAGTGGTAATTAATGCTATGTCTTCAGTAAGTTTCATCCAACTTGGTGAGGATGATTAAAACAGACCTGGGTTTCTTTAACTTTGAAAATAAAGATAAAAAATTATCATTACACACATATATAATTATTGAGACTTTTGAGAAACCCATAGAAGGGAAATTATGTTTCAAGAACTCTATAGTTTCATCAAGCCCCAGTGCTTCAAAATGTCATGAAACAGAGCTTACCCAGTAAGACTAAATAAACAGCTTTCTTGTTCCCGGTAATACTCAAACAAACTTCTAAACAAAACTCTTGACAAACTTGGAGAACTCATAGCACCTAACTTAATTAAGAGCACAGAGCTGTAAAAGATATGATGAGCAATTACATCTGACCCTATAGTAAGTTAAAAAACAACATATAAAGTTGTCTGAGAAGATTCTATGATGTCCCTACTATCCTAGCCTTGTGATTTCATAGCATGTATTTCTTGCACAGATAGCTGTATATGGGTAAGTATAATAAAAGAATCAAAATGAAAAGATCCAAGTGATGGGAACCATGTCAATAAGATACAGTATTCAGATAACAGCACATTTTCCTGACTATTTTGATTAGGTTTTCTCTTCAGTTGCACTGGGTTTGTTCTTGATCTGCCAATAGGTAGAGTCAATGATGAAGAAAAAATGAAGAAAAAAAATGAGTTGATGTTTCGTACAATCTAATCACACTATTCAGCCACAGCCATTACATGGCTTGATTAGACAGACAATATAGAAGTTAAAAAAACACTGGGCAATTTAAAAACTGGAAACAGACACTTTTAAAGAAAAAATGAAAAAATGAATTTGGCATGAAGCTTTTAAAATCTGATTCTGCATTTTGGGTTTCCTCAATAATCTATCTATGGGAGAAAAGGCAACAGAGAGCCCTCAAAGAGCACAGAATTGTTGGTGGTAATTGTAGGTTCCAAAAGATGGGAGGAGAGGTGAAGGGAAGAGAGAGGAAGAAACACAAGAATTTACGAAACAATATCAATCACTTAAATTGCCCTTACAACGTTTCAGGCACTATTCTAAACACCTGATATCAATTTACTCTTTATAATTACACTGAGGCAGGATGAATGTTTATACCCATTTCACAGGTCAGGCAGCTGAGACAGTAAGTAGCCTGCAGGGGGTCACGCAGGGGGTCACGCAGTCGGTAGGTGGCACAGCTGGAATCAGCCAGGCAGTGGGGCTGCATGGTGTACCCTCAACATGGTCTCTGCATTACCAGTCTCTTCCGTGGTACACACATTCTTTCATTTCACCCATACAACATTATGTGGTAGGTAACGTCATCTCCAATTTATAGTCGGAGACCAAGTTCTAGAACATCATGAATTTATTAAATGGCACTGGAGCATTTCAAGTGAGAGTTTCAGACTCCAAAGCACTTGGGAAGAGAAGCACCGAGATGAAGAGGGATGTGGTCTCTGTGGTCTTTAAGGACCTCAAACCAGCATGAATGATTAATCTTACTTGTGGGTGGGAAGAGTCTGTTCCCCTCAATTCCTAACACGGTGCATGACATATGTGAGGATCCTTGTACATTCTCCTTTGCAACAGTTATCACATTGAATAACTCATTGTTTACTATCTCTTTCCCCACAGACTGTAAGTTTTGTTCATTTACTGGGAGCACACTATGTACAAGGCAGGTACTGTTCTAGGAATTTGTAATCTGTAACGGAATAAAATAAAGATCCTTACCTTTTGCTTATTTAGCTTTGCATCCCTAGCACCTGGCACCCAGTGATTTTCAATAAATATTTACTAAATAAATAAATGAATCAATGAAGATGGGCAGGTAGAAGCAACAGAAAAAACTACAGAGAAAAGGAAATATTTGGGTTTGATCTATTAACGCCCCGTTTTTAAATTAAAATCTTAATATGTTTGTGATGAATAAGGATGATTGTTTTTATTATTTAACTCATCTTTAAGGCAGAAATATTACCAAATATATTTTAATTCCAAAACCGAACTATGATCCGTGTTCTGAAGGAGGACATGTGATTCAGGATGCAGTACTTGCTCCTTTGACAGACGGAAATTTTCTAATCCTATTCCCCTGAGCCTAGCCTGTGTTTGCATTCACCACTTTTCAAAAGGTGACTTTCCAAGGCAAGTCTCCCAATAATTAGAGGCGTTTAACCTGAAGCTTATTTGGTTTCAGCAGTGAGGTTACAGGCTGTTATCCACATTGTTATTGACTCCCTCAATTACTGGCAATGGCATTTCACCTCCATGCAAAATATTAGTAAATTAACAACCCCCACTCTGCATTCATTTGGGAAATCTGCTCTGCTTGTGATGACGAACATGACAGGCAGGGAGTAATCAGAGACGCTCTGGTAATACCTTTAAGCCTTGCAAACATCAATTAAAACTCTGGCTCTGCACTTTGCAGTTGGGGGTTTGGTCTGCAGGGTAAATTTCTTTTCTCTTGACACAATGCGGAAGTCAGCACTGGTAATTTGCTAGAGAAACAGGGAACAAACCCAACAAAAATAACCAGAGAAACATTCACCCTGATTTTCTTGAATCTTTCCTATTTTCAATGTCTCTTTTAGACCATAAAATGAACTCTGGCACTGTGAACAATTTTCAGATCAGATTTACAATTCTCTGACATGACAACTTTGACTCAAAGAGCACATTCGAATAAATATTTCTTTAGAGTGCTAAAAAGGCTACAAAGAGATTATTATTCAAGTGTCGTGACTGTCTCAGATCTAAGGGCATCTTAGTCTAATGAAGAGATTTTTTACCCAGTAATTGCTAGGTCAAAGGGGCTCTGTGGATGAGCTTCAGTAGAGTTATTTAAAATTTGTTTAAAAAAAAAAATCTTACGTGCATTTTATTAAGAAAGGCATGCATTATTTTCATCAGATTGTTTACTGGGCATTGTAACCTCACCAGACAAGAATCTCTGGTCTGGTGAGAAAAACCCAAGGGCTGGGGGAGGGATGTGCTGAGCTCTGCTGTCATCCAGTTATCATTGGAGCTGCTCTGATGTTAGCTGTTCTCCCATAAAAAAGTTTTCTTCAGATGACCAATACCTTTGTCTCCTCTGTTTTAATACTTGAATTTCTGATGTGATGGGATTATAATTTAGCTGCCTCTTCACCTCTAACTTCCTGTATTCTCATAACTGTATTAAATAATGATTCAGTCCCATCTTTTATTGGTACATTGAGTATCGTTAACCACAAAACAAACTAATTACGAAAACATTAATATCAGCTTTGGGTTAGTAGAGCAGAATGATTAATGCCTTCCATTTTCAGACAGTATTACTGGTTTAAGCAAGTCAGACACTTAGGAAATTTTTTTGTGCTATTAGGATCTCATTTCCTTATATGGTACACTGTGATAAAACCTAACTTACAAATGCAAATCTAATAGAACACTATGTCAACTATGTGTTTTTAAGTCTATCAATTTTATTTGGTTTCCACAGACAGAAGAGTTGAGAAATTGGGCAAGTACTACTTAAAATGATCCAAATAATTATTTAAAAATGCTTTTAATCTTTGGGGGCTATAGAATTCTAGCCAAGATTAAAATTTATCATTTTTTATAAAATTAAAGTGAAAGTATTTTCATCATAATGACTTAATCAAGGCAAAGCAAGTAAAAATTACTGATTTTTTTTTCTGTTGGATCTAAAACCCAAGAAAAGCCACTTTTGTTTTTTTAAAGTAAAGATGGTTTCTAAACTAGAACAGGTGAATTCGAAATCTGAAAGATTGTTCTTACACCAGACATGTAAAAGTGTAGCTAACTTACTGTCATGATGAGCCCCTTTTCCTGGAAGTATTTGACCAACGGAGCAGCGTTCTGCTTGAAGTTCATTAGTCTCCTTTGGGTAGCTTTCAGATTGTCATCAGGCCGCCCCTGTTGCTCTGCGCGCTTCAGTAATCTTTCTTTGAGCCTCTGATTAGCACAAGCCAAGAACACCACCAAGTCGGGAGTACAGATCTGCGAAGAGCATCAAACAAGTAGACAAGCATTAACACACCAACCAATGCAAGTGTGGGCAGTGGCATTCTTCTCGTTTAATTCTGTTGAGGGTGCCACATCTTTGGCCCTCTATGTCTTTGCCAATATATTTTTAGGGCTACTGCTCTATACAAGAATAAGAGGAGCCACTGCTCTTATAAAGGCATACTTTGAAGTTCTTGAAGGAAATGGAAAGTGCTACTCCAGGGAATCCATAAAGGATTAGAAAGTGAAAGTGAAACAGGCTTATTGCTTGTATGGAGAAAGTTGTGGACAGAAGATCAAACCAGCTACAACACTCTCTTAAGCCAAAGCCATAAACCCAATCCAGAGCAAGGCCCTAACGAACTCTCTTCAATTCTATGAAGGCTGAGAGATGAGGAAGCAGCGGAAGGAAAGTCTGAAGCTAGCAGAGGTGGGTTCATGGGGTTTAAGGAGAGGCCTTCTCTGTAACTTAGATGTGCAACGTGAAGCCCCAAGGTGAGGGAGAAGCTGCAGCAAGTAATCCAGCAAATTATTTAGCTAAGACGATTAATGCAGGGAGCTTACACGAAACAACAGATTTTCAGTACAGATGAAAGAGTCTTATCCTGGAAGAGGACGCCATCTAGGTCTTTCTCAGGTACAGAGAAGACAATGCCTGGCTTCAAAGCGTCAAAGGACAGGCTGACTCCGTTGTTTGGAGCTAATGCACCTGGTGACTTTCAGAAGCCCGTCTCATTGACCATACTGAAAATTCCAGGGCCCTGAAGAATTATGCTAAATCTGCTCTGCTTATGCTCTGAAAATGGAACAACAAAGCCTGGTTGATGGCACATCATTTCAAAACATGGTTTACTGAGCAGTTTAAGCCCACTGTTGGGACCTATTGCTCAGAAAAAAGATGCCTTTCAAAGTATTATTGCTCATCAACAATGCACCTGATTAGCCAAGAGCTCTGATGGAAATGTACAGTGATAGTAACGTTGCTTTCATTGCCTACTAACACAACGTTGATCCTGCAGCCCATGGGCCACATAGGAATTTCAACTTTCACGTCTTATTAGATAAGAAATATATTCTGCAAGGTGATAGCTGCGATAGGTGGTGATTCTTCTGATGGATCTGGGCAAAGTCAGTTGGTGCTGTGAAGACTGTAGAAATGACACCAGAGGATTTAGACTGTTAGAGGGGTGCCTGGGTGGCTCAGTGGGTTGGGCCTCTGTCTTCAGCTTGGGTTGTGATCTCGGGGTCCTGGAATCAGGCCCCGCATCGGGCTCTTTGCTCGGTGGGGAGCCTGCTTCCCCCTCTCCCTCTGCCTTCCTTTCTGCCTGCTTGTGCTCTCTCTCTCTCTGTCAAAAAATTTAAAAAAAATTCTCTAGACTGTTACATCAACTTAGTTGGTAAAGCAGTGGCAGGGTTTGAGAAGATCGACTCCAATTCGGAAAGAGGTTCTACTGTGGGTAATGTGCTATCAAACAACATCTCCACCAGGAGTGGATTCCATCTCAAGAAACCACTTGTTTTGCTCATCCATAGGAATCAACTCCTTAAAGTCTGATCATGAGGTGCAGAAATGCAGTCATATATTCAGGCTCAACTTCTAATTCTAGTTCTCTTGCTATTTCCACCACATCTGCAGCTACTTCCTCCATGGAAGTTTTGAACCCCTCAAAGTCATCCATGAGGGTTGGAATCTACTTCCGGACTCCTGCTAATGTTATTTTGACCTCTTTCCACAAATCACAAATGTTCTTAATAGCATCTAGAATGGTGAATCCTTCCCAAAAAGTTTTCAACTGATTTTGCCCAGATCCCTCAGAGGAGACCAATGTGGGACTTGATCCCAGGACCCCAGGATCATGACCTGAGCCAAGGGCAGTCGCTTAACTGACTAAGACACCCAGGAGCCCTGCAATAAAATATTTTAAAATTAAGATTTTGGGGGCATAATGTCATTGCACACTTAATAGACTACAGTATATAGTGTAGACATAACTTTCACATGTGCCAGGAAACCAAAATTTTCACCTGACTTGCTTTATTGTGATATCTGCTTTATAGCAATGGTCTGGACCTGAACCCACAATATGTCTAATGTATGCCTGTAGTTCATATAAATGGCATTCCCAACTTGCAGTGGCCTCTGTATTTCTGGAAAATACTTCTTGCCTATGTTCAAACAAGTACTCAGGTTAAATGAGGACAATATAGACAAAAATCTGCCAGAGGTATATGTGACCAGATTTTAGAGGGGACATGATGATTGAATTATAGATATTCTCTACAGTAAATTAGTACTGCTTCTATTATTACTTTTTGCTGTTCTTTTAAAAGTATCACTTGTAGGGGCACCTGGCTGGCTCAGTTGGTTAAGTATTTGATTCTTGATTTCAGCTCAGGTCATAATCTCAGAGTCCTGAGAGTGAGCCCTGAATGGGGTTCTGGGCTCAGTGCAGAGTCTGCTCCAGATTCTCTTTCTCCCTCCCTCTGCCCTTCCTTGCCCAGCCCCAATAAATGAATAACTAACTAACTAACTAACTAACTAAAAATGAATCTAAAGTATCCACTGTGTGCCACGCCCAGTGCTAAGTTATTTTTGTATGATATTGCTAAACTTTGCAATACCCTGTAAGGTACATATTATCTCCAGTTTACGCATGAACACACCTGGCTCTAAGAAATGAGGTGTTTGTTTGAGGTCATATGGTCAGAAAAGTCAAAGCTGGTATCAGTCTTGTCTAAGGCCTGTGTTCCTCTTACGATTACAAGGAACGAATTAATCCAAAAGCTTTCACAAATTTTTGAAAATACCAAGGGATAATTTGAAAAGAACCTATGAAATAAACAGTTCTCATTTAACTCAATTAGAACTAGTATTGCATTTAAAAGACTGCACGGCCATAGAAAGTGAATGTGGCTTCTTAATGAAGAACACACACAAAACAGATACCCATATCAAAAAATGGGCAGAAGATATGAACAGACACTTCTCCAATGAAGACATACAAATGGCTATCAGACACATGAAAAAATGTTCATCATCACTAGCCATCAGGGAGATTCAAATTAAAACCACATTGAGATACCACCTTACACCAGTTAGAACAGCCAAAATTAGCAAGACAGGAAACAACATGTGTTGGAGGGGATGTGGAGAAAGGGGAACCCTCTTACACTGACGGTGGGAATGCAAGTTGGTGCAGCCTCTTTGGAGAACAGTGTGGAGATTCCTCAAGAAATTAAAAATAAAACTTCCCTATGACCCTGCAATTGCACTACTGGGTATTTACCCCAAAGATACAGATGTAGTGAAAAGAAGGGCCATCTGTACCCCAATGTTTATAGCAGCAATGGCCACGGTTGCCAAACTGTGGAAAGAACCAAGATGCCCTTCAACGGACGAATGGATAAGGAAGATGTGGTCCATATACACTATGGAGTATTATGCCTCCATCAGAAAGGATGAATACCCAACTTTTGTAGCAACATGGACGGGACTGGAAGAGATTATGCTGAGTGAAATAAGTCAAGCAGAGAGAGTCAATTATCATATGGTTTCACTTATTTGTGGAGCATAACAAATAGCATGGAGGACATGGCGAGTTAGGAGAAGGGAGTTGGGGGAAATTGGAAGGGGAGGTGAACAATGAGAGACTATGGACTCTGAAAAACAATCTGAAGGGTTTGAAGAGGTGGGGGGGGGGGAGGTTGGGGGAACCAGGTGGTGGGTATTAGAGAGGGCACGGATTGCATGGAGCACTGGGTGTGGTACAAAAACAGTGAATACTGTTATGCTGAAAATAAATTAAAAAATGATTTTAAAAAAGGCAGTTTTGTATGGCAGTTTAAAGAAATGATTCAAAAAATAATAATAAAGAAATGATTCCAATATTTTTGCATCCTTACATTAGTAAATTATTTGAGCATATACCCTAATAAATACATACTTTTAAAAAAAGATTTTATTTATTTGACAGACAGAGATCACAAGTAGGCAGAGAGGCAGGCAGAGGGAGAGAGGAGGAAGCAGGCTCCCTGCTGAGCAGAGAGCCCGATGAGGGGCTCGATCCCAGGACCCTGAGATCATGACCTGAGCCAAAGGCAGAGGCTTAACCCACTGAGCCACCCAGGTGCTCCAAATACATATTTATTAATTAATTTAGAAAACATGCACATAACACCATACTAATATAGGATGCTTGCTGTAAAACATACACAAAATGCAATTTTAATAAGAAGAGATACAATAATTGCAATTTTAACATTTTCTTCCCACACTTTCCCATACTCTAGAGACCACTGGTTGGAAAATGGACCCTAGAGGCTGGGAACACACATTCCAGTTTTTGCCCTAGGACTTGCCAGCTGAGTGACAGGCATATTGGCTTAATTTTGCAAAGCCTCTATGTCTTCATCTGTTAATAAAGATATACAGACCTGCCTCCTTGAGTTACTATAAAGATTAAATAAGATCATGTATGTGAAACTCACAGCACAAATTTGATCCACAGTAAATGCTCAATAAATTTGAGCCATGTTTATTTTCTTGGTTTTCATGATTCTAAGTTGTCCTGGTCCTTCTTTAACTTTTTGTTATTTATTTTCTTGGCTCACCTTTTTTTCCTCCTTTAGCCCACAAGTGGGGTCCTTCCTTGAGGCTTAGATCATGTTACTGTTTTTAGGTCTTGTCTCCAGATTCTCATGTTCTTCTCATTCTTTTTTACCTCTTCTGGTTTCAACAACTGCCCTTAGTTGATGGATCCTAAATCTACATTTTCAGCACTGACTTTCAACAAAATCTAAGTCTTGTATTTTCAAATGCTTAATATGATGACTCTACCTGTAAGTCTTCATGTTACCTGTGACTTAGCAAAGCCATAATCAGTCTCAACACCTTTTTCCCTAAATGAAATTCCTGCCTTGCTTATTTATTAATTTTTCTACTTTTATGGTATTTTATGGTAGCAACACTATTTTCCTAAATCTCTCAGCTAGAA